TAAAAATGGAAAAAAAATAAAAATGATAATATTTTTATATATATATTTTAATAATTATTATATTTTTTTTATTATTATTAATAATAACGTTTGCATAGACATTTTCAGGGGCGGACTAGCCATTTGTATAATTTCCCCGCAATGAGGCTCCCCCTTTGACAATCCACTAGCGCAGTGTTTCTCAAACTTTTTCATACCAAGGCCCCCCCCTCCCCCCCGTCGACAAGGGGTCACCAGTCTCTGGCACTGTTATTTTGGGGGTCGCGGGCTGAAAAGTTTGGGAAGCCCTGGTTTATTCAACATTACAATAGCCCCACCTAAAATAATTTCCACCAGCCGCCACTGGCCATAGCCATTTATATTTTTTTTGTTCAGCGATTGTCCACTGTTGTGCTCACGCTTTTATTTTGCGTAATTCCTGGTTTCCAAGAACACAGAGTTTTCAGATCGGTTCTGATTCTGATGCCCGCATCCTAAATGGTTGCATTTCCCACATATCAACCATGTCAAAGTTGCTCCGAAAAATATGCTCAAATGCTATCATGTGGTTTTGCACAATGACCCCCTCCAGAAAGATAAATAAGTAGATAAACATCATATTACACTGTGGAATCTTTTATTTTTTATTAATTATTGTCTTTATTAAAATAAACTCTTAGCTCATGCAATGACGGTGCTTTCTGATTATTCTGGTTGTTTAACCAGAGGGTGCACAGCATGCACACATCAGCTTTAGTTGAAATCACAATTCAAGCTGTGCTGCTTCTGACATGCTGTCATTCGCTCCTTCACCAAACACCAGCAGCTACTCCATAGGTCCAAGATAGTGGATACATTTTAAATAAAAACCTGCACGTTTTCTGTTCCATTTATTTGTGATAGCCCATTAGTTGGACAAAGGTAAAGGGTGTGAAAACATTTACTGTACATGTTTTCTGTGTGGGCCCAGTGTGCCAAGTGTGTGTGTGCTTGCATTTGCATCCAGTGTGTGTGTGTGTGTGTGTGTGTGTGTGTGTGTGTGTGTGTGTGTGTGTGTGTGTGTGTGTGTGTGTGTGTGTGTGTGTGTGTGTGTGTGTGTGTGTGTGTGTGTGTGTGTGTGTGTGTGTGTGTGTGTGTGTGTGTGTGTGTGTGTGTGTTTGAGAGAGCCTACCTTCTTATCCAGTTTACGCCCACTCAGGGTCAAAGTGATGATTCTGTTGTCAGACAGCTCCTGAGCTGTTATCTAAAACAACATTACAGCACAACATAAGTAATGGCAACTATTAACATTCACATCAACATCTGCAGTAACAGCAGCAACAATAACAGTAATCACTAACAACAACAACAACAGCAGCTTCAACAACATCACTGTCATCATCATCAACAGAAGCAAACGCGCTATTATAGTAAATAACAGCGACTACATGAGCAGCTACCTTTGATAATGCGGCACAGAGTTTATTTGTCAAAGGAAAGACGCAAAGACAGTTTAGAATACAGAGAGAGAGACAGTACTCATTCTTACCGTAATAGACCCTTTGCCAGCTGGCTTCCCATTGGCTAAGATCAACGGTCTGTGAAGTTTCTTATTGGACACAATCTAGTAGATAATGAAAGAGGAACAAATGGATCAAGGACAAATTAAGACACAACGAAAGTATAAAATGGGTTTGAATCACTTAACAACTTTAGCCTACTTTACCCTTTTTAAAATGTGGAAATGTGTTTCCAGCTTTAAGGAATTAATAGCTGGCTGTGTAATATGAACAAGATATTTTGGCTGGAGTTTAATAGAGCGATGCAGAAATGAGTACTATAACTAGTAAATTAGTTTGCAATTTACCATTTCCAGTTCTGTCACCTCAAATACAACAATTTTTTTTGTATCAAATCAAATCAAAGTTTATTTATAAAGCACATTTAAAAGCGATTTTTGGTCGGGCCAAAGTGCTGTACATGTAATAAATACTACAATCACATAAAAACACATAAACACGTATCAGTATACCTGAGGCCTGTACGACGAAGCCGGATCTTCGCTAGCGGGCTAACTTCAGGGAAAACTCTGGGTTTCCGGTCCTACGGTTCTCTTTTTAGCGGGCTAGAGCTCCATGGTAACTTATGCTGAGCGGCTAACCTGGTCCGGAGCAGGTTAGGTTGCAGGCTAAGAGATTAACTCATTGAAAGCACCGCCTGCTGACCAATCAGAGCTCAGTGTGCGGAGTTTAAAGCGATCAAGTCATATTACAGGATAGAGGAAATACAGAAAAACTGCCGTTGCAGGAAAGACGGCCGCCAAAAATCACTAACTGTGTGAACGTGAACATTAATAGAATATCACCTCCCATCTTCAGAGCAATCTGACTATTATAACATTAACGTTAAGTTAATTAAGCTTACTTAAATATCTGCCACAACATAAGTAACCGGATCAAAGTAACATTACGTACAGTCCGCGGCACAGTGAGTGCAGACGTCGATGTGTCCCATTGTCATTCATATCACATCATATCACATCATAATGTATCATATATTTCCTTATCTGAGTCAGCTTCTTGAGCCGTATTTGGCCAGATGAATAGTATCAGAAAATGTAAAATAAGAAACCAAAGTATATCAGTAGGTGATTCTCTTTGCCATTGTTTTCATCTAGTCTATACTTTCACAACAATTAAATTGTTGATTTTGGTGCATAGCCACGGGAAGTAGGGGTGCTGCACCCCCTAGAATCTGGAGAATCACAGAACCACCGCCTGCTCACGGCCGGCACCGCCCTTAATGTGTTTTCAAACGGCATCATTGAAGTTGCGCTGGCAGGCAACAGAGGTCCACCTGTTGACAATTCGACACAACCCCTAAGTAAAATGGCTTCCCGTGGCTATGTGCCACCCCAAGATTTTCAGTGGCCCCATTTGGCCACCCTTATGAAACATTTCTGGAGGTGCCACTGGGCTCAAGGGCCTTCACCACTGCCATCACCACCAAGGACCAGCAGACCAGCATCACTACAGCTGCCTCCACCTCCATCTGTGCCTGCCTTCAGGTCACCTCGGCACAAAGGCCTCCACCACAGCCACCCGCATCAACTCAGCCAGCAAGGAGGTCTCTTAGAACACACGTACCCCCCCACACAGCCACCACCATCAACCCGGCCCGCAAGGAGGTCTTGAAGAGCACAAGTACCTCCCACACAGCCACCAGCATCAACCCGGGACAATCAAACGTAGCTCCCTCCAACACAGCAGCCCTGCACCATCACCCCCACCTGCACAGCAGCCAGCCCCACTGTCTTGGAAGATGGACAAAGACCCTGTCACTGCTCCCCCCTGTCTTTACATTTTCCAGTTTCTTATATTTTTATAAATAGTTGGTTGAAAAAAAACATATTTATAATATATTGTTGGTTGAAAAAGAGTACTAATGCTGAATTTTTATTTGTACACATCACACAACCTTGGTATGTCATATGAAGTAATTCAGTCCTGATGTATCTCAGTCCCTGCTGTGGGGAAAGTAGATTGATAAACAACTATTTTACTCAAAATTCGAATTTAAACATTTTCATTTTAGACATGAATTACAAATGTATATACAGTGTTAGTCATATATTAAACTACTTTTGTGAACCTAAGACTTTGGTAAACCAAATCTAAAACACCAGAAAAATGGATGACATGAGTAAGTCGGTTTTCACAAGAGTTTTGAAGATTTCAAAACAATCGGATGTCAAATGTTCAGCTTTAGAGCTAATTATTTCATCACACAGTGCTCTAAGGTGGGTGACTTTATACCAAGAACAGAGACTGTCCTGAACATTTTGATATGTAACACACGGGGTACCATGTATAACATTTAAAAGGTGATTTAAGGAGACATCTAAAAAAGACTCAAGATGGTTATTGCGCCGTTTTTGTATTGCTATAATGAATAATACTGTAGCGTCTCGCTACAGGAACACAGGGAGGCTTAGTTTGTCCATTATCCGGTTGATTGCAGATCACAGGTTACTGTTGGCCATAACCACGCCAAAAAAATCCACTAACCCTGTCGTATTCTCACACTCCGTCACGTCTCCCGCTAGCTCTCTCCTAGCTTCCCGCGTCTCTCTCCCCAGGAACCTCCCTCTTCCAGCCCCAACCAACCAGACAACACTCTCCCACCCAGACCCACAGCTACAGGTCACAAGAACCGTCCATCAAAACAGTGGCACGTTCACTGACACTCTGTAAAATGCAAACAAACTCTGAACAACAAACACATCAAACATCAACATTATAACCAGTCCGTTACACTTTCCCCCTTCCTCAAAGTCCCTCGTCCTCGAGGGAATAAACAAAGTCTCTCAGGTGGTTAGGGGGTCTGCGATTTCTCTGCGGCCGTGCCTGGTCTGCGGCAGGTGGTAGACAGGACCACCGTGGGGCCCAGAGTAGGGCAAGGGAAAAAAAGTCCAGGGTTGTGGGGAACAGGCAAGGTCCCCGGTCGTGAAGAGGGGGGTTGGGAAGAAGAAGAAACAGTGTCCCAAGCCCCCTGTGTCTCACCCACCTGATCATAGTGGGTGTTGCCTGTACCCCGATAGGGTTTCCAACCTGTCCGGTGAAGAAGCAACTATTCTCAACCCCTCCGCTGCAGATTGGACCCTGTAACCAGGACGACCCTCAACCTTCAGTGTCCCAGAAACCTGCAGGGCCCCCCTGTCCCAGTCTGCTGTTCAAGCTTGGGCATCTGCCTTCTTCAGGTCACAAAAACCGTCCATCAAAAACAGTGGCACGGTTCACTGACACTCCTTAAAATGGCCAAACAAAACTCTGAACAACAAACCACATCAAACATCAAACATTATAACCAGTCCGTTACAATACGTAGGTGCATTCTTTATCACCATCATGTATACAGTGATACAGTTAGTTTGTGATTGTTTCATTTTGTTTCAATACAGCCTATATCGACGCACATACATTTGTAATGCATTGATGTTTGAAGTATTTAGGCTACGCCACTGTCAGTCGGTGGTGGCACAGCTGGCAGCGAAGTAGTACAGAGATATACTGTATTCTTCATATTATTTTTGTGTATTCTCTATCAAGCGGGTCAAAGTTGCAAAGGCCCTATCACATTTTATAATCGCCTAGTTTTTACGTTACCAGTGGCAGTGGTAAGGTAATCTGTAGAAAAGCTCACACTGTTTTAGTCAGGCCTTCACAATAAGTACATTAATGGTGTAATATTCATTGTGTAGGCCATGCTGTGTAGACACTCTGTGTATTGCTCTTTATTTGTATTTTAATTGTATTATGTTTATACTTGTTTTCCACCTTTCCCCACACATTTCCCAAAGTGGTCAGGCAGGAACAGGCAGGCAGGCAGGCAGGACAGGTATTACAAATCACCATATTTACAACACACAATTTATTTTTATGTTCACACAATATTTATGAGACAAATCATGTGATGACTTTCCTGTCTGTGTGACTGGACTTATCCCGGCGGTGATGAACTATGAGCCGGCAGAGAGTCGCAGGCTTTCCGCTCCCCACCCGGCGCCACCGAGGCCGGTGAGTATCCTACAGAGTGCAGAGCACGGATTCACCGGTTGTGACCCTCACTTGGATGAAGCCTAAGCGGCCCATCTGCTTCCGCAGATAGCCGGGTGGGCAGGGGGAGAAGGCGTGACCGCGAGATGCTTGAGTATCTGGTTAAGATAATTCAGCTCGGGCGCAGATGGTGGCGGCGGCCAGTAATCTAGGTGTGTTGGGACTCGGGAGTGTCCTATTCCCCCACACCCCACCGCTGAGGAGGGAGTGATTACCGGACTGCTGCCGTGGGCCAGATTAATAATCTGGTCCAACGGTATGAGCTACCGCAGCCGGTCCGTAGTGATGTCCCTGACCATTTGTGGCGTCGCTTCACGTGTGGCCTAAGTTGACCGCACTGACCAGGAAAGACCGAGACGATCTTCTGGGGCCCCCGTTGACACGGAAAGAGGCTTCCTTCGGATCGATATCCTCGGTCACCCAGCGCTCAGTCGCCTGGAGGGAGAAGAGGAGCAGCAGCTCAAGCCGCATGCTGCAGCTGGGCTCGCCCCTCAGGTCTCTCCGCAAGGAGAGGAGCGCCCGGCGGTGGTAAGGCGGAGAGAAGCGCCGGTACAGAGCCCTAGAGTCCTGACGCGCCCTCTGCCCTCACGCGGTCCCGATCCCGAGGTACCGGCTCAGCACGGCCCTCACGAGGACAGACTGACCGAACCCGGATGGGGCCCAGCTCCCGCTCCTAGCCCCGCCCGCAGCGAAGGGGTACAGGGTGGGAGAGCTCCGTCAACCAGGAGTTGACTGGCGGCGGGAGGAAGCGCCCAGCGGAGAGAGGTGATTCTTACGTCAAGGACGCGAGGGCGTAATCCCGCCATCCTACCTTTTAAAAAAAAATCCGGTCAGAAAACAGTCAGATGGAACAGTGGTTGTTGTGGGAAGACAAGCGTGTGGTAATAACATCGGGGCCTGTGATATAAACACAGGCGGGGCCTCTAACTCAGGGGCCCTGTCTGTCCTATGCTGCCTTGCTGAAGAGAAGTAAAAGGATGACAGTAAGGAAGGCAAGGCCTCATTTTATGCGGGAGATGCACAGCGCAATTCAGGTAGGCCGCACCGGGGCCGGTACGTCAAAGTCTCAATGGATGAATGCTTGCATGATAGATCGAGGGGGAGTACCCATAAAGTCCAGTAGAGGGCCCACCTGTGTTTAATAATACAAAGGGTTACCATAACGTAACCCACTCGATTTTCTCCAGCATTCAAAAATCCAACTGGAAAAAATCCCATTTATTTTACTCACCCGACAATAGTTCTCATCACATCCATTTCGATAAAGCAGGCAATAGCACCCAAAAGCTAATGGGGGACAAACTGGAATGAAACAAAAAATGTTTATGTCACATAAGTTAATAGATGCAACATAATACTCTGTCATGTTTTTTATTCGGAGCGGCAAATTGAAACGGAAAAAGAGAAATTGTGTTCATAGCCACTCCCCAGTGTACAAATGAATCTCCGCAGGAGTCCCATGTTCATCAGAGCTGTGTGGCACAACTTGTCCTCATCGAACAAGGCAAAGTGCGAAGCTTCTGGATCTCCTCAAAGTGGTAGTCCACTTGAATTGCATCCCGAACACTGGGTTCAGGTGTTCACAGCTGTCTCCAGTGCGGCCGAGCTTAAAGAACAAGAAACAAGAGAAAGGAACATAAACAACAGTCCTTATTAGACATTCAATTGGAGCTTATATACTTATCATTTCTATGCCACCTGAGTGAGAATGAAA